CTTTTATTTTAATAAAATAAGAGAAAAAAAAGAATTAATAATAAAAATAGATAAAAAATGTTAATAAAATAAAAAAGCCCAAGACCGACAAGGAGACCAAATTAACTATTTTTTGTATTTTTTCTAACAACTAAAATTAACTATGAAATCGCGATTACATGTGATATTTCAGCTCAATCGTGGACTTAGTAGTAAAATTTGCGCTCGCCAACTATTAATTTCCTTTCAAAGGCTACCAGAGACTCACTCTTTCACTCATTTTTCCCCCTTTTTCTCGCAATCACATCGCAATACGCATTTTCTAGACTTCAGTTAGTACGTGTATAAGTATGTTTATACGTGTATATATTATTTCTTGTAGGTATGTGTATGCATATTTTTATTTATACACTTATGCATGTATGAAAAAATATACAGATTAAGTTACAGTCGTACGGTCATTTTTCTAAAATTCATTTCTTTTTAAAAATTTTTTTGACCCGCTGGTTGCGAGTGGACTACTTTTTGCATATCCTCGTTAGTTATAGTAAATAATGATCATTTAGTTTTTTTTTTTTTTTTCTTTCCTTGAATCAGTTCATCGTGTGCATGGTATATGACTCGTACGCACGAAGCGAAGCGTCGAAATAAATAAAAATGTACGTAATGTCCATCGAAAGTACAAGTGCAACTTTTTCTTATATTTAAAAAAAAAATCTTTTTTATAATATTTTTTCAGAAGTGCTATCACCGCAATATATTGTAGCTATTTATGGAAAACCCATTATATGCAGAACTGTGCGAATTTGTCTGATTTTTCGTTTTTGGTACAATAATTTTAATAATAGTCTTGCCAGCTAAAGTAAATTACGTGGAGTGGTTTAAAATTTTTGTCTAGTGCTTTGCGTTAAGTGCAAGTAATTAAAGATTTAAAAACTTTTCTTTTTCGATAGGAAATCGTAAGCATAAATTATAAAATTTTAATTTAAATGGTAAATTTTTTCCTAAAATAAATTTTATTAAACCATTATCATAAGAATTTATTGTTAGTAACAATTTTATCTCTTATGTGTCATGAACGATTTTTACTAGTTTAACTAACTGATTTTTTTATTGAAAGAAAAAAAAAGTTATGCATAAATATTTAATGACTTGCCTTTTACTTGTCGCTATTTATTAAACAATTTGTAAGTACGACCTAATCGGTTTATTGTTTTGTTTCTTTGACATCAGCTTCCTACATTACATGGGTATTACAAGTTATTTTTCTTGCGCTTCACATATATAGATTTGGGATGAATGGATGAGAGGAATCAAGAAGAGATATCGGGTAAGGTAACATCGATTTAACAAAAGTTTTAACGCTGTCGGGTAATTTAAGCTTTATTATGGCCATTTTCATATGTATATAGTTTTCATTCCAGACATAAATATTTTTACCAATAACAACGGAAAACACAAATGAAATTTTTTTCGTAAAAAGCTTTTAGAGACAGATTTTTGTATGAGTAAATTATTGTATTTACTTAAAAAAATCATACAAAAGTGGAAAAAGCGATTTTTCAGCCTGACGTGCCCGCGACATCTCACTTTTAAAAAATATAGC